GAAATTTTTGGGGGGGTGGGCGAAATTATGGGGGAGGTGTTGGAGTGCGGGGGGAGCAATGTGGAGCTGCACAGCTATTTCCGCTATTGACCACATGACCTTCGTCCTCTCTCCCCATTGGCTCCTGCTGGCCTCGTGACTTTTATTCTCGCTTCCCATTGGCTCGTGCTTACCGCGTGACCTTCATTGTCCACCGCGCTGGGTTTTTGCTGACCCCATATCCTTCTCCCTCGCTCCTCATTGGCTCATGCTGACCACATGACCCTCATTCTCTCTCTGCATTGGCTCTCGCTGACCCCAGGACCTTCACCCTCGCTCCCTACGAGATCCCTGTGACCCACGCTCGCTGTCTGCATTGGCTCTTAGTGATCTCGTGACCCTCACGCTCGCTCCCCATTGGCTCTCGCTGACCACACGATCCTCTCGTTCCTTATTGCCTCCTGCTGGCCCTGCGGCCCTCGCCTCTCATTGGCTGCTACTGATCACATGACCATCACCCCCAGTCCTTATTGGCTCCCGCTAACCCCATGACCACCACCCTCACTCCCCATCGGCTCCCACCGCCCACACGATCCCCGTGTTCCCTATCGCCCTTTGCTGACCCCGTGACCCTCTCCCTCTCTCCCCATTGGCTCCCGCTGACCACATGACGCTCATCCTCGCTCCCCATTGGCTCCCGCTGAGCTCTGCCCCTCCCCCTCCAGGATGATCGCTCAGGTCGGCTGCCACGCCCCTCGCGAGGTTTTCTTCCGGGTTGCGGCGGAAATGTTCGCGGACGGCACTTTCAATTGGGGCCGCGTGGTGGCGCTCTTCTACTTCGCCTGCAAACTCGTCATTAAGGTGCGGCGCCGCGCAGCGCCCCCAGCGGCCGGGCGGCGTCATTGCACCCTCACTGCTCCACCGATTCATTACCCCCTCATTAACGACCCAATTAATTACTTTCCTTCATTCATCGTCTCATCCCCTTTTTATCGCCCCCGCCGCTAATTATCACCCCCGCTCGCTGCCCATCCGCCCTCCTCCCACTCCTTAACGAACCCCACACGCTAATTACCGCTAATTACACACCTTATTAACCACCCCCTAATTAACCACTCCCCTAATTAACCACCCCGCTAATTACCCCTCCAACATCTCCCTCTACCCTCTCAACACCCCCCCTCCCCCCTCCGTTACCTCTCCCAACCCCACGACCTCCCCCTCCCCCACCGCTCCCTAAAGAACCCCGCCTGCTAAATAGCGCTAATTAACGCTAATTAACGCCCCGCAGGCGCTGTGCACCCGCCTCCCCCAGGTGGTGCAGACCCTCCTGGATTGGACGGGGCAGTTCCTTCGTGAGCGAGTGCTGGCATGGATTAAAGCTCAGGGCGGATGGGTACGTGCCCCC